GGGATGGGCTAACTTGTTTTGCTTCTAACACCCTCTTTTCCAGTTTCACACCCCCTGGCCCATTTCTTTGCATTTTTTTATTATTTTTGCATTTTTATTTTATTTCTGACTTTGATATTTTATTTTCAAACATAAAAAATTCCTAAAAAAATATTTTCATAAATTTTTATAATTATTTGGTATTTATTTCAATTATTTCAAACATTAAAATGTTTAAATGCTTTATAATATTTTGTTTAAATTTAAAAATAAGGTAAAGAAATACTTTTATTTTCATTTATTATTTTTATTCACATTTGAAAATATTTTCTTTAAATATATACATTTTTGTAAATAATTTATTTTATTTTTCACATACTTTCAAAACTCTACTTTCAAACATTGAAAACTTTCAAAAGACAAAAACACTTTTGTATACATTCAAACAAGAATCATTACAAAGGTTGCCACAACGATGGCCTCTTTTCAAAACATCTTTCAAAACCACACACAAAGCACCATTTCAAACAATTGAAGAGCACCATTTCAAACAATTGGAAAGCAAAGCAAGTGATCTAAGCAAGTAACTTAGAGCCCATGGATAACCATGGATAGAAAGGGTGTTAATACCTTCCTTTTCTATAATCTACTCCCCGAACCCAAGAAAACATCCCAAAGGTCTTTCCTGTGCTTTTTGACCTTTCCTTAGGATAAAATAAAAAGTCGGTGGCGACTCTTGCTAAACTGAAACATTTGCGAACACAAACGCAAAATTCCAAGTCAACTCTCCCACCGTATCACACTCACCATATACTCCTCTTCACCCCGCACTGTGACAATCTTCCCTTTTACCGGATACTTCAGCATTTGGTGGAGTGTGGAAGTAACTGCCCTAGCCTCGTGGATTCAAGGAAGACCCAGCAAACAAGAATATGACGGCCTGATATCCATCATATAGAACGTGGACCCAAAGGTCTGAGAGCCCAGTTTGACAAGGATGTCCACCTCCCCGTGCACCATTCTCTTCGATCCGTCAAAAGCCCTTACCACAATGTTACTAGGTTTTAGAGTCAAACCCTCGCAATCCAACCGGTCCAACGCCTTCTTCGGCAGAATATTCAGCAAAGACCCAGTATCTACCAACACATGAGCCATAGTGGTGCCCATGCATTCAATTGAGACATGCAGAGCATCATTATGCTTCCTTCCCTTCGGTGTTAAGTTCGCATCTGAAAAACCCAGCCCATTATCAGCAGTCAGGTTGGCCATACAATCTTTGAACTCATCAGCTGAAGTTTCCGGCGGCACATGTGCAGTCTTGAGGAATGCAATCAAAGCCTTCGCATGGGCTTCGGAACACAACAGCAAAGTCAACATGGATAACTTTGATGGGGTCTGCCCCATCTGCTCGACCACATTGTAGTCGCTCTTCTTAATTATTTTCAGTATTTCCTCTATCTTCTGCTTAGAGGCTTCCACAACAATTTTTCTAGGCGCCTCCGTCCGGGCAGGCTCACCTATAACTTCTTTGCCGCGGGTATCAGACGATTCGCCGACAGGGGTAATAACTGGAGTAAGAACAGGAACTGTAGTGGATGTACTAGCAGGAATAGCATATGGAATGACAATAGGCTTGTTGACAGTCTTAGGGGAAATCTCGAGAGAGAAGACCCTCCCACTTCGGGTGATTTTGCTGGTTCTGACAATGTTACCAATATCAGGATCAGCCTCTTCATCTTTCAGATCTTGTTTGATGCCATGATAGTACACATCGGCACCATAATGCCATGGGACAGCTTTTTCCGAGACATACGGGATAGGACCAGGAACAGTGATTATCAGCGGAGCAATTCTTGGAGCAGATGTAATCCTAACAGGTCTTCTCGAGGAAACCTTGGAAGGATTGGCGGAAATGGTTATAATGGCAATGTCTTCAGATGGAACAACGGGAACCAAAGCTTTCTCAAACAAAATTTCTTTGCTATCTATCAGGCGTTGAACACCTAATTTCAGCAAACGGCAACCAGAAGGTAGCAAGGAACACATGTGGCAACCTTCACCACAACCCGGAAATAAACCGACTAACAACAAATTTTTCTTCACAATCATGAGAGGAGTAGAAACTTCATCAACAGAGGTAACGAACAAATCAGTATCAACAACATTAATTCCATGACTGTGTTTAGGCATGGGAGCAGTTATGACATTTGGCTTCTCCTGAGCATCAAACTCTATTTCGTTGGCTTCGATCAAATCTTGTACATTGTTCCTTAGAACCCAGCAGTCATTTGTATCATGGCCAGGACTCTCAGAATGATAGGCACACCGGGCATTCCAATTATATCAGGGAGATATAGTATTCGGATTCTTGGGAGCCTCTTTCAACGTTGCCAAGTTGGATCTCAGCAGGTGAGGTAGCACTTCAGCCAATGTCATTTTGATGTGGGTAAACTGTCATTGTGGTCTTTCCACCCTTTGTTGATTGTTGCATTGTGGAGCAACTGCAAGTCTAGGTATCATCACGACACTTACTGTCTGACGATGTTCAGGCCTGTTTTGGCCCCTCGGGCTATAGATGGCACTGGATTCCTTCTTAACAGCGAAAGGCTTTTTTACTGAGCTCGAAGAGGCGTCCTTCTTTTTCTTACCGCTTCGGATCCCAACTTCTACTCTCTCTCCATTTAAAATCAGCTTGGTGAAGCCAGCTGCCGATCAAATGATTGAAAAATGGACCAGATAGCGTCCCCATAAACATATCAACCAACTCCCTATCAGACAACAGGGGTTAAACTCTCCCCGCCAAGTCTCTCCATTTCTGTGTGTGATACGGTGGGAAGAACTGGCTATTTTTGGAATGCTGGTTTGCATTTTGCGTTTTGTTTTCGCAAAATGTCGCGGTAAGCAAGAGTCGCCACCGACTTTTATTTTATCCAACAAGGAAAGTAAAAAAGCATAGAAAAATTCCTTTTTTGAGATGTTTCTCGGGTTCGGGGGGTAGATTATAGAAAGGGAAGGTGTTAGCACCCTTTCTATCTGTGGTTATCCACGAGCTCTTAGGTACTTGCTTATATTGTTTTCAAAATGGTTTTCTTTGTGCTTGTAGGTTTGAAAAAGTTTTTGTTTTGAAACTTCGATTTAACTCTTGCTTCTGTCCTCAAGAGCGTATGAAGTGTTTTTGAAAACTTTGTTCGAAAAGTGTAAGTGTGAAGAGTTTTTGTTTTTGAAAGAGCAAGTATCTAAGAACCATCTACCTACTCGAAAAAGGAATCGTTCTATGCTAATGTCCTTTAGACAATGCTGTCCTACTATTGATGAGTAGGTAGCACCGTCGTTGGAGTTTTAAGGGTCAATTCGAATTAGGGACACACGGTCACCAAAGCAATGTTAGGACACCTTAGCGGTAACCCTAATGTCTTAGATCATTTGTTTGAGGCAACAATATTCGAGGCAACCGTTTCAAGGCGACTATGATCTTTTAGACAAGAGGGCGACCTCTAAAACAACCTATACTCAATGACCGCGTACGAAGGCAACCAAGTGAGGTGTACCCTAAGAGTGCGCATGTGCGAGGGTGTCGTTTTTAGTTATTTTTGTCTTTGTACATGTTAAGGGTGATCTAATTGTATTTTAGGTTAAAACATTCAGTTTTTTCATGCAACCCTATTATCAAGCATCTAACAGTTATAATTTGCGGAAATAAAATGCGGAAATTAAATTACAAGGCGTCGGGTATTTACATCGCCAAAGACAAACCCTTTGAAAATAAATAAAGCGGTAAAAATAAATAAAATTCCTATTAACTATTACAAACCGGAAGCAGATACATTATTGGATAAAAGAAAGTAAATCGCGATGCAAAATTAAACTGGGCGCATGATTAGGGTTTTGACCCTTTTGGTTAAAGAAAATATCTTTTTGTTATTTTTTATTTTAAGAAAGAAATTAAACCTAAATTAATTACTAAATTAAATTAAATTAATTAATAAATAAATTATTTTTTTGATTTTTTTATTATTTTAAGAAAGAAAATAAAGTTAATTGAATTAATAATTAAAACCTAATTAAATCTAATTAATTTTAATTATTTGCAAAATAGGTTAAAATTATTCTAGAATTAAAACCTAAATTAATTAATTAGTATTTATTAATATAAAAAAAGTTAAAATTTGATTGAATAAAAAATATTTTTTGGTGATTTTATTTTATAAAAAGAAATTTGTGATTGGTTGGAAGTTAAATAAAATAATAAAGTAATTAAATAAACAAACAAAATAAATGAGAAGAAGGGAGTATGGGCCTGATTATGGGGGTGCTGGTAGCAAATTCGTGCCCCATTATGTGTTGGCCCTTTTGACTTCCTGAAATTCAGTGTGCATGCGTTGACCAATGCCTTGGTGGTCCTTCAATCCCTAGCCATCAGATCTGGCCATTGGCCATCTGTCTCTTGGATGCCTGAGGGTGCATGGTGAGCTGCAAGCCAATGTATGCATAGGAATACCTGAAGAGGAAAAATATTGAGAAAGTGGGGGACCTGGGGTTCGAACCCAGGTCCTGAAGGATGATACGTTTCTTGCTTTGCCACTACGCCATGATGGTCTATTTGTTAATATAATGAAAAGAGTATATTATATAATAAAACAAGTCAATGGCCAGAACAAAAATAAAAACGCGTGCATGGTTTAAAAGGGCCAATGGGCAGGGGACACCTCATCGTCCCTGTCCTGAAACCTGGAAAAAGATTACCTGCGAATTTTAATCTGCAGCTAAAAACGCAGGTTTGTCCTAAAATCTTCTTTAGGCCATCTAAATCCATTCCAAGAACATGGTTGGGTTCGTTATGGCCTCCTGATCAAAGTTATGCCCTTCTTGTGGATCAATTATTCTTGAAATAGAAAACCCCAAAAACTCTTCCAAGAACCCTAGCTATGGCGTTTTGCATTACAGGTTAGATAAACAAAATTAAATGATGCCAAAAGTTTACAAAGGATATGAGGATTACAAATATGCAGTTATTTCATTCAATGGATGCAAGAATGGTGAGTTTCAATTTCAAGAACAGAGTTGGGTTTCGTGACACTTACAGCGTGTTTGGACGTCTGAAAAAGCTTGCTTTGGATTGGTTTAGCTTGAGTGAATGCCCAGGAAGCGATTGGGACAGGTCTTGGCCTCTGAAAATGCCTCAAACTATGATTTCGATCTCAAGCTTTTTAGTGAATTTTTCAAATCTTGGTCTGCCTCTCTCTGCACTTTCCAACCCTTGATCTCGTCTCCTTTGGCTTGCTTATGTATTGTGTAGTGTATTAAGTCAACAAAACTGATCCAAATCTTCTCCTATCAATGCTTGCATATTTGATTTTATCTCCCTTTACAAACTTTCCAATTTTTCCCAATTTCAATCTTTTTGCACATGATTTGGTGTGATTTGAATTTTATGATGATAATGATTGCAATCAAAGCCTGAAATATCCAAAAAAATCTTGTGTTATCAAAGTATTGGATTTTATATGATTTTATTTTATTAAAAATGAATAAATTCAATTAAAAATCAAATTAAATAATAAAAATAAAATATGGGCTCATGGATGAATCTAGGACACGTGGTAAATTATTCAAGCTCAAATCAAGTGGAGAATAATGGGCCCATTTGACAAAATTTGATGTTTTGGGGATAGTTGACTTTTGGCAATTTTGCAAAAAAGTCCAACTTCAACAAAGCATAACTTCTTTAATTTTGAACTTTTGGAGGTGTTCTTGGACTTTTTAGAAAGTTTGGAATGTCCTCTATCCAACCCTTTTGGTCTCATCTCATTTTTATGTTCCATGCTCAAGTTATAAGCTTTGGAAAAAAAGGTGTTTTTGTTGACTTTCAAAAATGACCTATAATGTCTAAATATATAACTTCTTGTGAGTGAATTTTTTGATCTTTGGATATGAATATGGATTGTAGGAAATTGCATCCTCTTCAAAAATGAGCTTTGGATGGGTCATTTCTCATAAAGTATGAGAAAGTTATGCTTGGTCAAAGTTGAGTTGACTTTTGCTACAAAACCCTAATTTAGCAACTTTTGAATCTTGATGAATTTTGGGCAATCCTTGATGAATCATGATAAAACCTTGATAAAGTGATGAAATATCCTTCAAAATGAGAATTTTGACAAAAAATCTTGAAGTTTGACTGTATTTGGGTCAAAGTTGACTTTTGCCCTAGCACAGTCGATTTTTGGACTTTTGAGCAATTGACTGAGCAAACTTCCTATGCAAGGATTGAAATTTGACATGGATGATCTTGAGAACATATTAGGACATTGGGGAGCACTTGAGGTCATTTGGACTCAAAGAACTTGATGCAACACAAAACCCTAATTTGGGGTAGACTGCCTTAGAAGATAGCTTGTCTGACTAACTTTTGAGCAACCTTGAGCCACTTGGAGATTTTTCTTGCAATATCTTGAGGAATATGGGAGAGAAAATTTTGGGGTACAACAGCTTCCCCTGTTCAATCTTCTTAAACCTGAGGATGTAGATAGGCTTTCATGCCTTTCGTGATCCGAAGGTGGAAGATGATTGAATACTAGAGTGCCCAGAAATTTGCACTCGCATGAAGTGGTATCAACCTTGTGATGTCGGGAATGGGCTTACAGATGCCATTTGGAGATCGCTGGAAGGAGGATGGGCTTAAAGATTCCATTTGCAGGAGCGTCGGTCTCATAAGAGATTCCTTAGCGAGAACTTGCATACCTGTTGTTGTGGAAGATTCCACTGGGGAAGCCTGATCTTTGTTGAGATTTAAGAACTTGCCTATACTTCAACTGAGAGAACATCTCTGCTGAGTTTTAAGAACTTATCCGTAATTCAACTGGGGGGAAACATTTGTCGAGATTTAGAACCTTATCTGTAATTCAACCGAGGATAATTCAGTTGAGATTTAAGAACCGGTCAGTACTTCGACTGAGGAAAATTGCTGAGATTTAGAACCTTATCTGTAATTCAACCGAGACTAATTCAGTTGAGATTTAAGAACCGGTCAGTACTTTGACTGAGGAGACTTTCCGAGATTTAGAACCTTATCTGTAATTCAACCGAGAATAATTCAGTTGAGATTTAAGAACCGGTCAGTACTTCGACTGAGGGAAACATCTTCATCAAGATCTAGGATTGTCTGTACTTAAACGGAGAATAATTCTGTTGAGATTTAAGAACTCGTCCACACTTCGATGGAGGAACTTTGTCGAGATTTAGAACCTTATATGTAATTCAACCGAGACTAATTCAGTTGAGATTTAAGAACCGGTCAGTACTTCGACTGAAGGAAACATCTTCATCAAGATCTAGGACTGTCTGTACTTTAACGGAGAATAATTTTGTTGAGATTTAAGAACTCGTCCACACTTCGACGGAGGAACTTTGTCGAGATTTAGAACCTTATCTGTAATTCAACCGAGACTAATTCATTTGAGATTTAAGAACCGGTCAGTACTTCGACTGAGGGAAACATCTTCATCAAGATCTAGGATTGTCTGTACTTCAACGGAGAATAATTCTGTTGAGATTTAAGAACTCGTCCAAACTTCGACGGAGGAACTTTGTCGAGATTTAGAACCTTATCTGTAATTCAACCGAGACTAATTCAGTTGAGATTTAAGAATCGGTCAGTACTTCGACTGAGGGAAACATCTTCATCAAGATCTAGGACTGTCTGTACTTCAACGGAGAATAATTCTGTTGAGATTTAAGAACTCGTCCACACTTCGACGGAGGAACTTTGTCGAGATTTAGAACCTTATCTGTAATTCAACCGAGACTGATTCAGTTGAGATTTAAGAACCGGTCAGTACTTCGACTGAGGGAAACATCTTCATCAAGATTTAGGACTGTCTGTACTTCAACAGAGAATAATTCTGTTGAGATTTAAGAACTCGTCCACACTTCGATGGAGGAACTTTGTCGAGATTTAGAACCTTATCTGTAATTCAACCGAGACTAATTCAGTTGAGATTTAAGAACCGGTCAGTACTTCGACTGAGGGAAACATCTTCATCAAGATCTAGGACTGTCTGTACTTCAACGGAGAATAATTCTGTTGAGATTTAAGAACTCGTCCACACTTCGACGGAGGAACTTTGTCGAGATTTAGAACTTTATCTGTAATTCAACCGAGACTAATTCAGTTGAGATTTAAGAACATGTCAGTACTTCGACTGAGGGAAACATCTTCATCAAGATCTAGGACTGTCTGTACTTCAACAGAGAATAATTCTGTTGAGATTTAAGAACTCGTCCACACTTCGACGGAGGAACTTTGTCGAGATTTAGAACCTTATCTGTAATTCAACCGAGACTAATTCAGTTGAGATTTAAGAATCGGTCAGTACTTCGACTGAGGGAAACATCTTCATCAAGATCTAGGACTGTCTGTACTTCAACGGAGAATAATTCTGTTGAGATTTAAGAACTTGTCCACACTTCGACGGAGGAACTTTGTCGAGATTTAGAACCTTATCTATAATTCAACTGAGACTAATTCAGTTGAGATTTAAGAATCGGTCAGTACTTCGACTGAGGGAAACATCTTCATCAAGATCTAGGACTGTTTGTACTTCAACGGAGAATAATTCTGTTGAGATTTAAGAACTCGTCCACACTTCGACGGTGGAACTTTGTCGAGATTTAGAACCTTATCTGTAATTCAACCGAGACTAATTCAGTTGAGATTTAAGAACTGGTCAGTAGTTCGACATAGCTGAGAACTTAATTGCATCCTTCCTGAAAGGTAAAGGTCAGTCGTATGCAATGCATGATATATATCAAGCAATGATGTTCTCAAAATAAATGAGATTGTGTTGTATGATGCGTATATGCATGTATCATGATGTATGGAAAAGTAATGTTTTGGCTGGGGAAAATAAATCTCGGATAGCTGCTGGAGAAAAGAATTGAATTCTTCGTTTCTGCTGGGGATGACGAACGGAGATGATTGTGAGAATAAACCTGCAGGAGAGGATAACTTCGTTTGGGGAATAAACTTGATGAGGAGATTATTGTGGGGAAGAGATATTCTGCTGAGGATTCCACCGATAAATTCTGCTGGGATGAATTACCGTTGCTGGTGATACTGAATCCTGTTGGGGGATTGACTTCTTATTTGTGAAAAGGAAAGAACTCCACTGGGGATGATTTTTCAGTTGCGACTTCACTGGGGATAACCTTTTAGACTCTTATGGGGATAATCATTTGACCTTGCTGGGGACAATCTTCCAAAGTTTACTGGGGATGATTCTCCAAGCTCTATTGGGGAAGCTTTTCACACCGCGTTGGGAAAAGTTTCAAACTCCACTGGGGATATTTGGCATTCTGTCGGGGAATATTCTTATACTCCACTGGGGAATATTAAGACCTTTCAGTGCTGATGGTAGATATACTCTGCTTGGGGAGAATATTACCGATTCATTCACAGTTGCAACTCTCAGTTGGGGAGAGTTAACATTATTGTCTTACTCTGCGGGGAGTGAATGCATCTCAACCATATCCTTCAGCTGAATTTACCTTGTACCTGGTGGACACAGCAACCGTACAGTTCGTACAAATCTTATTTGCCCCTGTTTCTGATATTACCAGTAATCGTCTTTTGTTTCGCATGTAAATATTTATGAGCAGCAATTAATGTCAAATGCATATATCAAAAATGAACATTGGACATTCTTTGCAAAACAAAACAGATAAAGGAAAAACAGTTTGAAATTTCTTTAAAGATGAATTGCATTGATTTGAAGTTTGGCCTATAAATAGGTGTTTTTGTACAAGAGGCTGACATCCTAGTAAGAGAACGCTGCCGAACAACTAGAATTTACACAATTTGTGAAAAACTAAACAAAACAGCTATGTGAATAATCCCACTTGGTTTCAACTCTGCTATTGCCCTTATGTCCTCGAGCACCTCATCACTTTGCTACTTGGTTGAAGGTAGATCAGATTGATTAGTGTCGTCTGAGCTTGTAGTCGATACCAAAATCTAGTTGCAAGGTGATCCAATGAGACATAGTGTTACGCTTTGATCCCTAATTTTTTCCTAGACCGCCCTTTTGGGTTTTTGGTCCACCGGGATACCCTTTTTTTCCCAAGCCGCCTTTTTAGGTTTTCGACTTGCCGGGTGTACAGATTTTTTTATTTTCATCCCTTATTTTTGCCTAGGCCAGTCGACCTAGCGGGTCGTTAATTAGGCGTAGTATCTTTTCACTGCATTGACGGGGTGAGGAAGGTCGTCACCATCCATGGTGGTTAGAATCATAGCTCCTCCTGAGAAAATGTTCTTAACCACAAATGGCCCTTCGTAGGTAGGGGTCCATTTGCCCCTGGGATCACCTTGTGGCAGGATAATGCGCTTGATTACCAGATCCCCAACTTGATACTCTTGTCGTCTAACTTTCTTGTTAAATGCCTTGATCATTCGTTTTTGATACGTCTGACCATGACAAATAGCAGTAAGTCTCTTTTTGTCGATTAGGTTCAGCTGATCAAGCCGGGTTTGAATCCAGTCATCTTCGCTCAAACCTGCATCCTTCATAATCTGAAGAGAGGGCATCTGAACTTCAATGGGCAAGACTGCCTCCATGCCATATGCCAAGGAATAGAGTGTTTCCCTTGTTGACGTTCGCGGTGAGGTACGATACCCATGAAGAGCAAATGGTAACATCTCGTGCCAGTCTTTGTATATCACTGTCATCTTCTGCACAATCTTCTTAATGTTCTTATTCGCTGCTTCTACAGCCCCATTCATCTTCGACCAGTAAGGAGAAGAGTTGTGATGTTGTATCTTGAATTGCTTGCAGAGCTCGGTGATCATTTTATTGTTGAGATATGTACCATTATCCGTAATGATCCTCTCCGGTACACCATATCGACAAATCCGATTATGCCGAATAAACCATGCCACGACGTTCTTGGTCACTGCAGCAAAGGAAGCTGCTTCAACCCACTTCGTAAAGTAATCAATAGCTACCAGGATGAAACGATGTCCGTTGGATGCTGTAGGTCTGATCTCACCAATCATATCGATTCCCCACATTGCAAAAGGCCAAGGAGCTATCAAGATGTTCAGAGGTACTGGAGGTATCTGCACCTTATCAGCATAGACTTGGAACTTGTGACAGGTCCGAGAATGCTGATAACAGTCGGCTTCCATTGTGGACCAATAGTATCCTGCCCGAAGGATTTTCTTCGCCATGGTGTGTCCAATGGAATGGGTTCCGAAGGTACCTTCATGTAACTCTATCATGATCCTTTCTGCTTTGTTCTTATCCACACAACGCAGTAAGGTCGAATCATGGTTACGCTTGTAAAGAATGCTGTTGCTGATGAAGAACTTCGCTGCGAACCTCCTCAGAAACTTTTTATCATTAACAGATGCACCCTCGGGGTATTCCTAAGCCTCAAGATACCTCTTCACCTCATGGAACCAGGGTTTATCTGCTACCTCTTTAGTTTCAATGTCGCAGTAATATGCAGGTTCGTCCAACCTTTCAATGATAATCCGGGGAGCCTCATTGTCCCAATTGACTTTGAACATAGAAGACATCGTAGCTAGCGCGTCCGCCAACTGATTCTCCTCTCTAGGGAAGTGTTCAAAGGTTATCTCCTCGAAGTGGGGAAGCAATGTCAACACATACTCCTTGTAAGGAATAAGATTAGGGTGTTTCGTATCCCACTCGCCTTTGATCTGGATGATCACGAGAGCGGAATCTCCGAAAACACTCAAGAACTTAATCCTTAGGTCAAT